GGGGGGGGGGGGTGTACTGACCAGATACCACTACCCCAAAAATTCTGAACTCAAGTAGATGGAACATGCCATACCACTAGCTAAATGAGGGTGGGTTGGCAACTTCAAGCCCCCTCTCTTAGTAGTAAAGAGAACACTAGTGTGTTGCCCAAGGGAACAGAAGCCTGCTTCATTGTGGGCAGTTTCCTGGATGCAAAAAGGTGCTGTTGTGACTCAAGTACTGATGGTGATGGTATATGCACAGGAGTCAGTGAAATTGGAGTTCCAGCTCCATGTTACAATTGATCTGCAGAAGTAAAGCTGGTGTGTTTTTTATTAGAGTTGTCATCAGTGTCAAGAGGTCACCAGTAAGACCTGTGATGGGGCCATCCCAGGGCTGAGATCTTATCTGCCCAGACTTGCCTGCCATGACTTACTGGTTTAATAACCTCGTGTTCTAAATCGGAAGCTGTCCATTATAATGCCCTGAGGCCAGGGGTGCAATCCATGGCTCCGTACCATCCCTACACCGTGGTCCAATGCCTTGCAGATGGCATCCAGAATCTTACTGTATTCCCAGCGTAAAGCTGGACCAACTTAATTCTCTGTCAGGCCTCTCACACACTGTTCTATTCTGAGCCTTACTCATACAACCCCCCTCTCACTGGGGCCTCTTTCACTCTGCCCAGCTCCACTGAGCAACTCCCATAGGCCATCAGGCTTATCAGTTTCACTCCTTGACTAGCTGACATGCAGCCTTTTGGGCCTCCTGTGACCCTCATCTGGGTAGTGACCAGCCAATTCACCAGACATTGGGCTAACTTTGCCCTAGCCCCTCACCCAGTGTGTCTACACATACAAAACACACTCTTGTGTTGGCCTGTGTGCTGCCCTTTTGGCCATCCTTCAGCCCTACTTAACACCCCCACTGATGCAGCCCTTCAGACTGGCCTTCAGCTGTACTCTGCATCTTGCTTACACAGCCCTTCAGTTCGTAAAGACGCTCCCTATTCTGTATGGGCCCACCAAATATCTTACTGCCCTCCTCTGGGGCCACTGCCCTGCCCTCTCCCTTGGGGCTATCCAGGATCTTGCATCCCCGTAGGTCTCAGGTGTTTGGAGACATGCCTGGCTCTCTTACCCACAATGTTGTGGGGACTGGGGATATTAAGGTGCCCTTATGCACCTTCTGTTGGGGAGGTTAGAGGTCCTGGCGTTTGAATGACACTGCCTCGCCACAGGTAGTCCCTCCAGGCTTCCGTTCCCCAGCAGGGTGCAGTTTTAGGTCATGCTCAGGACCAGGAGCCTCCTGCCATCCTCCTTGCTTCTGCCCTTACCTCCAAGATGATGTGAGCAGTGGGTCAGCCAGGTGATGTTACTCCTTCAGCTGCAAGCAGCAAACTGCTGCCTCTGGCTGGCTTGCCTAAGTTTGAAAATGGCTGCCTTTAATCAAGCACCTGTCAGCTGCCTGATCCAGCCCTTAAAGCAGCAGGCACCAAAGGTGCACTTGCATAACCTGGTTTTAAGCAGTGAAGAATATTAGAAAGAGATGAATTTATTAAGGCTTGGCTACATGAAAATCCCAAGGGCAAGAGGCTCAATAAGTTGTTTAATGTGGATGTGATAAGCAGAGGCTTTCAAAGCACTGAGGAATAGGAGGGGGCCTCAGCTGTGAGTGTTGCTTCTGGAGCTGAGCAACTGTAATGACCTGTAAACTTTCAGCTGTCAAGCCCTTTTTTTAACCATCATCTACTGCTCTTCTTTAATCCACCAGGCAGTTCCTCCATGGCTGTCTTCTGTTATCAGCAGTACTAGGCTCAAGGATGAGTCACCAAGATGATATTTGGACAGTTTTGCAAATAAAAGTTAATATCACTTCTCTGATGTACTTACATTATATGGGCAGTTTGCGGGGCAGCACAATCCTGAAGGAGGGTGTGGGACCTTCAGAAACTAACCGGACCACTGCTGTCTCTCTGTCCTGCAGATAGCTCTCTGGCCTGCTCTCATAGATACTGCTCGTTAACACAGGTAATGTACTTGTTAAGGTTCTGTTTGGGGTTTTTTTGGTAGGCCAAAAAAAAAAAAAAAAGGAACGGTGGCACCTAGGGGCCCAGAGGTACTAGACCCTTCAAAAAGACTTAAAACTGAACTGCAGACTCCACCTGGAACACCAGAGGTCAGACAGCCACTTTTGTCCAAAGTAACATTTTGGGGGGGAAGCAGAAAGAATGCAAAATCATATAATTACAAAAATCAGAGGCTACACGGGACCCTTAGTGGTCATTTAGTCCAATCCACTGCTCAAGGCATGATCATCCCTATCCAAACCAACCATCACAGGCAAGTATTTGTCTACCCACTTAAAAACTTAGGGAGCAAATGGGCACACACACAGATATTGGGCATAATGGTTGAAGTGTCAATAATGTCCTTTGATTTGCCACATGTAAAGCAAAGGGATGACAGAACTGTCAATGTCCTTTCATGGCAAGGATATGAAGAAGTATTAAAATATGCTAAAGAGGTCCACAGAAGGGGGCCACATCTGCTATAAAGAGGCAAAAATCTCCAGTCTGTACCAATCTGACCATGGAGTGATATTCCTTCCTGAGAATCTGAGTTTGACAAGAGGAGTAAAATCCCCTAGGCAGGAACCTCTAATTTTTTTAATCCCAGGATGAGAACTGGCATACCCAGTCAAAATCCCCAGCCTTGACTACAGCAACACATGACGTATCTGAAGATACCTGTAGCAACCAGAAGAGAGAAAAATTCCTTCCTGGCCCCATGTGGTGAATAATAATACCCCAAATGCATCAGATAACCAGACACCTTCCATGTAGTTCTAAATCCTGAGGACTAAAACCACACCATGCATTATACACCCTGACTGAAGAGCTAGAACTCTGTCACCCTATTCCCTCCATAAACTTATCCCAGCCTTTTTTCTTTTTTTGTTTTTATAACGAAGCTGGTTGTGAAGCTCTGCTTCATTCCCTTGCTGCTGAGCATAGTCCTCTCCAATAAATAGAAATGTGCTCTGGGCTTCAGAGCTCTTCTCAGGGTCTTTAAGCCATGCTCTGGCCGGTCTATAGGGTATATGTGTGTATATATGCATCTCCTAGGTTTTCCAATTGTTGCTCCTTACAGAATACTTCAGGCATTGCTTCTATAGTGTTGCAGGTGGGAGAGAAAATGTGGGAGGATGGAAGGCAACAATTCAGTGAGGTGAATCAAAACTGGGTGCATGAGTTCAACTCAGAAATGATTGACAGGATTTGCCTGGACTAATGTAAAATTTTAGGTTGGTTTCAGTCTTAACTGTCACTAGACAGCTTTTCACAATGCACAGCTCTGTTGTAAGTGGTTCCAATGCCTGCCACTGTCAGAAGGGCTTGAATTCCTCCCCCTCTAAATAATTCAGGACTGAGGATAACTGATGTGTTGATAGGACACAATGCAGGGCTGTACGGAAGATGTGTGCCTATTTTGTAGCTTCATTTCTGGGCCTGTCAATCCCATACATGTAACTAGGCCCATGCGAGTTGGCAGCGATCCGATCCGGCTTCAGATCCAGCCGCTTTGGATAGCCGCGATCCGATCCGGAGCTCTGGATTGGTTTGCCACTTGGATCCGGCTGAAGCAGCTCCGAAGTTTCGGAGCCACTTTGAAGATCCGGCTATAGGCTATAATGGGGGATGAATGAAATATCTATAACTTTGTTATTTTAGCTCCGATTTGGGTGCAACTTGCAGGGGTGGTAGCTTCACTGAGAGCATGAACCTGCCAAGTTTCAAGAAGACTGGTGCAGGAGTTTGGGGGGAACTGTACCCCAAATTCTTGAAAGCAAAGCTCCTGTCGCATCTATGTGTTACACTACAGGGGGTGGTAACTGCATCACGTCTGTGTTTCACCTCAGGGGGTGAAAACTGCAGGGGTGCTAGCTCCTGGTGAGGCCACAGAGCCTGCCAAGCTTCAAGAAGATCGGTGCAGGGGTTTAGGGGGAGCTGCAACATAAGCTGCTGACAAGGAAAACTCATCATGTGGGTGGGTGCTTGGGCGAGGGGTTAAATCTAGTGCAGCCTGAGTGTTGGGCCCTGCCAGGCCACAAAGGCTGCCAGCTGTGTGCATCTTGCTGTGGGAGTCTATCATCTGGGGCCCTGCACCCCAACCTGCTGACAGGCAGAGAGAGAGAGAGAGAGAGAGAGAGAGAGTGTGTGTGTGTGTGTGAGAGAGTGTGTGTGTGTGTGAGAGAGTGTGTGTGTGTGTGTGTGTGTGTGTGTGTGTTAAGGTGCATCCTTCCTGGTGCTGGGGCCTCTGCACAACACGGTCTCCTCCCCTACAGCCTCGCCGCCCAGTCCTCCACTTTACGTGACAACAGGTAAAATAACTTAGCTGGCTCAGCAGCAGCATCAAAGGTACCCAAACGTAACTCACAGAGCCTTTCTTTTTATAAAGGAATTGACAGCAAGAAGTAAAGATGCTGTGTTGGACATATGATGTTATTCATGGTGTGTGATGGCTTATCTTGTGTTTTTATGTCTATATGTGTATCATGGGAAAAAAAAAGGAGTACTTAAAAAAAAATGTATCTTTGGAAGCTTTAGAGTTGAAACCCCCTTTGTCAGGGTGAGGAAGTACTTGCAGTTGGTCCTGGATGGAATGATTAGTAAAGAAACCAGAGGCTGGCCTGGCATGCAATGCAGGCAAGAAAGCCAGTCAGTGGAAATGGAGGTGTTGGGGGGGAACGGCTGGGGTTCGGGGTAGGGGAGAAAGGGGGATGTAGCAGCGCAGGT